TTTCGCACGGGAGACAAGAGATGGCGCAAGCGGTCGCGACGCCAACTTCCGCCAACCAACGAGCATACGACGCCGAGAGCCGGCGTGTTTAGCAGGCAAGGAAATGCAGTTCCTTGTTTTTACCGCGCCTGTTTTTGTTTCTGCGACTGACGCAGAAACGACGCGCGACGCTTTTGAGTTGAGAAGATCGTCTGCTAAAGACGCCGGCTCTTGGTGCCGTATGCTCGTTCGTTGGCGGCGTTCATTGCGCCATCTCTTGTCTCTTGTACGAAACGGCGCCGTGTTGTTTGAAGACCGGTGGCGTCGTTGCGTTCCCATAGGAGCTAAGCCTTTTTCTTTCTTTACTTCTTTCTCAGGTATATTCGCTCTTCGCAAATCTTACAAAAAAAAAATGCACCATGTGTGGGCAACGCTGCACAAAGTCGTAACGCGATACGTTAAGAAACCGAATTTTGCGGTCGATTTATAAAGAGCCTGGCCTCTCCTTGAATCACCCTGTTTATAGAGGTCTTAACGCGTCGCAAAAATAATAACCCGCAAATTATTCCAAAACTCCAGCTTTGACCTAATCGCGAATAATAAGTCGTTCACAGTATTCTGCGGGAAAGTAAACTTATGACGTTTTTAAGAGAGTATCTGTCGGTAACTCCACATATTGCGGTTTTGGGCTTGTTTTCACCCTCCACGGCCGGCACAAGTCAATACGCCGGCCTTGCCTATCCGAATTTGTCATTTATTTATTTGCTTTTCTGCGCTTTATGATTTCTTATTCGTTTGATCAGTAGTTCCTTCAGCTGCATCTGCACGTATTTCCAAATAAATGCCATGAATCTATGGCGCCTTTTTGGTATAACGTTCTTATATTTTAATCATTGGCTTTTTAAGGGTTCAGTGAAACATTTATTGTGTCTTTTCAATTTTCAGCACTTTAACTAAATCAGTTACGTCTCTGATTCTACCGGGCGGCTACGGAAACGATGAGTGAGGTTGATTTTAAAATTTTATTTTCAATCTTTTTTACAGCGAAATGGTGAAGAAAACACATACTAGGAAATATGAGAAACACATGGACCATCAGAATGTCAGAACATTGCAAATAACTCACCGTCAGAGTGCATTCTTGCCTTGAAGAAGTATCACGTGTTTCGTTCCGTCTCTCTAATTGGCTCACGAGGGCATAGCCTTCGCCCTTTGCTAAAAAATGTTGACACGGAGTGTAGGAAAAAATGACCGCATCTCCACGTGGTGAATGATGTTGATTGAGGCGAAGCTCTGGTGGTGCTGATGATACTGATTCTGTTCATAAGTAGTGCTGATTTGTTTATTGCTTGTTTCATGCAACCAGGAATGGGCAGTATTTGAAATACAAGTATTTGAAATACGTATTTCAAATACTTTGTGTATTTTGCATTTGTATTTAATTACAAATGTGGTAATGTATTTGACCTGTGTATTTAACTACTAAAACGTGGGTATTTCAAATACAATTGTAATTAAATACAATTTTGGGGGCGAAAATACATCCCTCAAATTTATTATCACTGTCCAGAGCAGTAAAAAAACTACGCTCTGCACCGAATGCAGTGTCTCTCAATCAAGCACAAGCGTTTAGTGACTTTGTGATTACGGTGCTAGTCCAGGGCAAGAATTATGACGAAATCGACGTTCGCAGGCAGACTGGCTAAATAAGTGCCTGTGACAACTTGTGATGTTTTCCAGCCTGATTTCCATCCATATTTTTGCCTGGAACATTCTAAATGCGCGGGTCGTCCAGATTTTCGTAGCTGGTGCGAGTTGCTACAATAAGACATTCTTTAGCAAGTGCTGCGCGTCTTGGTCGTCTCGGTTCTTTGTTGGTCTATACCAAAATGTAATCGACACAAAAAGCTGCTTGAAGCTCTGTACTTTTTTCACCTATTACGTCCAAGCTGATTACATTTTTTTTTTTGTGATTATATTTCTATTACGTTACTAGAGCCTCGCACACTAACTCCCGAGTGTGCGATGCAAAGTTAAAATGAGATACCCAGAAACCCGTTGCAGGTGCCCTGAAGTCGCTGACACAAATTTTGAGGAATGTATTTGGAAAAGTATTTGGAGGAGACAAAATACATTTGGTTGTATTTGTATCTTGTACTTAAATGCGTTTTTGAAAATGTAATTAGATTTGTAATTAAATACATTTTTGACTAAGTATTTTGTATTTGAATTTCGATACATATTTGCATGTATTTTGCCCACCCATGCATGCAACGTTTCATTCATGCCATCCCCCGGCTCTTGAGTTACTACCACATCTCAGAGCCCCCTACTCGTCCCGCAGTCGTGGCCGTGTGGTTAAAGCGATGGACTAGAAATCCATTGGGGTCTCCCCACACAGGTTCGAATACTGTCGACAGCGCAAATTTTTTTTTTCTTCTTTTAAGAAGACATATGGGATGGCAATCGATGTGAGCACGGACGCCGGACGGATCAGGCTAGACCCTAAGGAGCTTCGCCCCTAAAAAAGAAAAGCTAGTCGAAACAGTCAAAGCGCTACATGTTTAATTAATCGTAAAGGATGAAGCAATACAACCGAAAACGCAGTATTTGCCGTCACCGAGAGATACAATGTGCACTGACAAATAAAAGAAGTATGTGGCGACATCTATCTTATTTGGTGGGAACTAAAGTCATCAACCACAACGCGACCCCCGAGAAGGCGATTGGCACCGAAGACTGGCGTTTCTTTGTGTCCCGAAGCTCGAGGAGACTTGGCCCATTTGAAGAAAGGGCTGGTCCCCGCTTCTACCCCACGTAGAAACTCTCGCCCACTACAGGAGCTGCACACTCTGCATCCTCACTCAAAGAAGGCAACAAAAAGCAGCACCTGCTCTGAAGCTGATTTGGTGCTCCCGTAGTCTGTGCTGTTCTCGAAGAATCGCATGCTAAAGGGCAATGCAAAGGAGACTTTTTGCGTTGCCTTTTCACCCAAAACTCAGAATATGCAGATATTCAAAGATTCGAAGGTCGTTCGAGAAACCCTACTAAATCCCCCAACGTTTTTATATAAAAAATAATAAACAAGCAATGTTGGGAAGTACTTTAAGTACATGGTGCTCAAAGTACTACTGTTTAGAAAACTTGTACTTTACTTGAAGTACATTCTCTCAGCATGTACTTGTACTTTCCGAGGAAAGCAAAACTCCTGACTTCAATGTACATTCCCCGAATTCGAAAACGAAAAATGGCGATATCGTCGTGTGAAAACGTGCTCTTTCGAGACGTCATCTGGTCATTTCTCTGAGTGAAGTGAAGGCGGCTATAAGGACCGACACAAATAAGTGCCTTATAAGTTGATTGTGTTAAATAGCTTGTCAGCGAGAGTAAAACAACTACTCTTTGGCAACTTGACTTTATACAATATTTCCTGCGATTTCCGTAAAAAACTGATGCACCTCCGATTACCCCTGGAGCAATGCATACCGGTTAAAAACACTGTATAGGGAATGAAAGGGCATCATGAAAGATTGTGTTAAAAGTGATTGTACTTTACCTTGAAATATATTGTATTTGTAGTACGTTACTTCAAGTACATTGCACCCGCTGTACCTACTAATTTACTTGAAGTACATAACCTCTCATTTACTTTGCACTTCAAGCACTTTTTAGATGTACCTTACGCCACACTGTAAAGAAGCAAACACTTTCTAAAAAATCAAGCTCAGGCAGCGCTCAACCTCAATTTAAAAAAAATGATACATTCGTAGTACATCATTGATCAAACAAACCAGAAAGTACAAAACAATTAGGCACACAGAAGCAGAACCAGCTATTAAAGCATTTCTGTGAAAAAACCAAGGCGATTCATATTAGGCTAGGAAAATTTCGCTAACGGATCAAAACCTATGTACTTTCTTTTTACCATAAAACACAAATGAAAGCAGCTTCAAAAGTAACTTCAAAAGTAATTCGCTACTTTTTTACGGTAATTACTACTTTTCTCAATTACCTTCCATTTGAGTAATTTCTACCCCACTCAAGCTACTTTTGACGTCAATACTCAGTAACTTAATTACTTTTTTGTGTAACTTGTACATGTCTGGGACGAAGGGACTGGGACATCGCCGCCTGCTGCGATTAATCAGCGCCACGCCGCTGACCAATCACAGCAGGCGGCGAAGTCCAGGCCCCTTCGTCCCGCTTCGTCCCGCCGTGTAGATTAGGGCCCCATCTCCCAGGGCTGACGAAATTGTTGGTGGGCACCAATGAGATGCCCTGACTGAGCCCAAAGACGTTTCCGACCGAGGGCAACTGCAACGGCTCGCGACGTGCGGGTTGCTATGGCAACAGCTGCATCGGCTCCAACAAAACCGGTTTTTACCCCATTTTGTGTGAGCCAACCCAGCTGTTGCCATAGCAACCCTCAAATTCCGTCGGACTAAACGAACGTGTGTGAATCGCCCTTTAGGGTAGTGTCCGGAGGCTTCACCGTGCGTTGAGGTGAACCCCTGAGGCCCTGAAGGTCCCACTTCAGTCCGTCCCAATTCCCTCTCCGTGACGGGCGTCCCACGTCTCGTACCTGTCTTGTGGCCTGGTTACCACTGCAGAGTGCAGCCTAACGCTCCCGGCTCACGGACAATTTAGGAAGCGCAGGACACAGAGGAGCCGATGGTACAAGTTAACCGGCCTATAGCGTCTATACAGTGTATTTGCATCCGTCTGTCTGTGACCGTAATTTCTGATCGGTGCATGACGCGCCGGACATGGACAGATTAGACTCCATAGCCATGTTGGCTGCAAGTCTGAGTCTCCAGTCAGGCACCATCGCCTTATGCATTTATAATCGTCCTTGCTTGGGAGGTTCTCCACATTTCTTCCCCCTCGCAGAGTATCCAATCGGGACAATGCCCCAGGTCAAACTTGCCGTCTTCCTGTTCTGTGCTTCAACCCTTCCTTTGTTAGGTTCTCCGGGAGCCACCCTAATTTTTACCCCCCTCCCCATCTTTTGTTCAGGAACAATGAAAGTCGTCGAAGACCCAAGTAAGCTGGACGATATTTCATCGAGGTACTCGCACATCTTCCGAAGGAAGGCCACCTGGGAGCTAGTCCTCCTTAGTGGCGCCGTGTGCGGGATCGAGCTCTGTATCGCTGCCGAAACAGCATTCATCGGCCCCATCCTCCTGGAGCTCGGCCTGCCCATCTCCGCTTTCGCCCTGACCATGTGCCTGGGCTCCTCACTGGGGTTCTTCGTCACCCCGCTCCTGGGCTCTCTCAGCGACACCTGCAAATGGCGCATCGGGCGCCGACGTCCCTTCATCATCCTGCTCTCCGCCGGAATGTTCGCCGGACTGCTGTTCGTTTCGAACGGGAAGGAAATCGGCATCGCCCTCGGCGACTCGTACATACCCCGCAACTTGAGCCTGACCAACGAAGAAGGTAGTGTCCAGCCGGCGAACTGGGGCATCGCCTCCATCGTGGTCGGGTTCGTGCTTCTGGACATCTGCTGTGACGCCTGCCACTCTCCGTCCAGGAGCTACGTCCTTGACGTCACCATTGCGACAGATCACGTGAGGGCCCTGACCACGCTCACGGTGCTTTCTGGTCTTGGCGGCTGCTTGGGCTACGTCCTGGGTGGTATCAACTGGGAAAAAACCGCTTTGGGAGCGAGCATGGGAGGCCACGTCAGAACCGTGTTCGCCATTGTCGGTGTGATGTTCATCATCTGCGTCTTTGGTACGTTGACCAGTTTCAGGGAGATGCCGTTGCACATTGCGAAGCAAGCGGAATCTGCGAGCTTTTTCGGGGGTCAGGGCGGCCACTATACAGGATTCCAGGACGATGATTTTGATGGCGAGAGCGTAGAACTGACGAAGTTGAGGCCGAGTGCCAAGCTCGAACAATCGGATGGCTCGGGCCCGACACTGAAAAGCTACCTCAGGTCTATCATTTTTATGCCCAAGTCGCTGCGGATCTTGTGCATAACCAACCTTTTTTCTTGGATGTCGCTCGGGAGCTTCTCCTTGTTCCTCACCGAGTTTGTCGGTGCCGTCGTGTACGAGGGCGACCCCGTGGCACCCAAGGAGTCCGTGTCTTTCGAACTGTACCAGGAAGGCGTGCGGCTCGGATGCTTCGGCCTCGCCTTGTACTCCGTGTCCTGCGCCTCCTACTCGCCCTTCATTGAGGGACTTGTGCTCAGGTTCGGTGAGTGTCTATTGTCCTTTTCTGCTTTGAAAGCAACGAATTAAAACTATCATAAATAGATTGTATTTAGCTCAGTGGAAATAGCTGGTAGTGCATGACGACCCTTTAGTGCGGAAGTTACTAAAGAGAGTGCAGTATTTTTGGGTCACTTACATTTAAAAAAAATCTAAAGCGTTTGTTGTTGTTTTTTTTACCGCAAATAGCTTAAAATTTTAATCACTGCTATATGTATATATATATATATGTATATAACGGGCATGGTGGCGGGAGGCCGAAGGCGTGGGTATAAAACTGAGAAGAAAAAAACCCTTAGTGAAAAACAGCAACAACGGACGATTTAATCTTCGACGTTTCGGCCGGAGTCCGGCCTTCGTCAGGAAGCTATATATATATATATATATATATATATATATATATATATATATATATATATATATATATATATATATATATATATATATATATATATATATATATATATATATATATATATATATATATATATATATATATATATATATAGGTAAAATAAGGTAAATATAAAAACAATGGACCGGGAAAAGTTAATAAGTGAAAGATGCGTACTGTCGGAGTTACTAATTCGAAGTTTATTACGACGTTTCGAGCGGGGACCCCTCTTCATCAGGGAGCGAGTGTACAGCCCGCGAATGTTTATATACCCCTAAGAAGAAATTAGAGGGAGTAAGGTGCAGTAGGAAATAGAAACAGCGTTGACAAAACAGAGCGGTCCCCGCTCGAAACGTCATAATAAACTTCGAATTAGTAACTCCGACAGTACGCATCTTTCACTTATATATATATATATATATATATATATATATATACGAAAGTAACTCTGCAAATGAAGAGGCTGAGTGTGTAAGACCTAAAAAACAGTCTGTGCTGGGGCAATGTGCATGACGCTTCAACATGCTACATGCCAAAAAAAAAGTTTTGTTTTTAGACTTAGACGTACATTTAGTTTCGTTGTTCGCCGAGCTCGCTCCGTATATTGCAGCGACTGGCTCTCTCAAGTGCTTTGGGCGTGCAGGCCAAAATCGCTCGTTATCAGTGCGGTTATGAAGATCACGCTGTTTCACGATGGGCATTAATTAGCGAGAAAAGCTTAGACTCTCCGTGTTGCTCTCGCCCTCAGTGTTCTCACGGGTGACGAGCCATTTAGCTGCGCCCAAGTGGACAGTCTGGATCAATTTCGATCTTGGTGGCACAACACCCACATCTTGCTGATGTAAAATCATTGCGGCAGGTTGATAGGTCACTGTAAAATCTATACTGAGCCAGGGTCGCAAGAATCTGTGTGGAAGGGCGTCAAAGCTTATTTTTGTTTCTTTTAACGCAATTTGAATTAAGAAAATAGTAAATACTATAAAAAGAAGGATGATTTACGTGAGCATTGTTTATAAGAAGCGTAATCTTTCAGGGAACTCGCGACTTATCATTTTTAATAGGAATCAGACATGGACGAAGTAAACGCTATAGTGCGAGTTATGCACAAGTTTAAAAAAATAACTTTTTGTTTCGTTAAAATTTTATTGTGCGGACTATGCACCATCTGTTTGGGTTATAGTTATAGTCCGAAGAAAAATACGATTTATATATTTCGTTAGAACATATTACTATAGGTTGCCCAGTGGGCTAGCGCACACTGAAGTCATTGGATTAGCGGATGGTGAAAGCAATTAAGAACTTGAAGCTGTCTTCCAGCTCAGGGGATGACCAGATCAATTCGAAGGTTCTAATAAACACGAAACACACTTCCGCAGCTTTTTTTGTGACATATTTTTCCAGTCAATTAAACTTTCTGAAATTCAGAGGGATTGAAAAACTGGAAACATAACCCCTGTGTTCAAATCTGGTGACCGCCACCTAATTACAAACTATCGGCCCATCTCCCTAACTAGCGTATCATCTAAGCTCATGGAACACGTACTTTACTCCAATATAATCGATTATTTAGAAATAACAACCTCCTTTCTAATCACCAACATAGTTTTCGGAAAGTGTACTCTTGCGAAACCCAACTAACGGCGTTTCTTCATGACATTCACGCAGGTTTTAATACCAACATTCAGACTGACACCATTTTTCTCGACTTTTTTAAAGCGTTTGATAGGGTCCCTCATCAACGTCTTAAAATAAAACGTAACAAATTTAAGATCCATCCCCCTATCGTAAATTGGATATCCGAATTCTTGACTAACCGCACCCAGTACACCACCATTAATAACTCTAAACCCCCCTCGTGCCCGGTAACCTCAGGCGTCCCTCAGGGTAGTGTACTCGTGCCTTTACTCGTTTTAATCTACATCAATTATATTCATGAGCACATCTCGTCATCAGTTCGGTTATTTGCAGACCACTGCGTAATTTACAGGCCCATTCTCTCGCTCGACGATCACCATACCTTGCAAACAGAAATTTCGCAAGTTGTTCAATGGTGCAATAAATGGCAGATGACTCCCAATTTCGACAAATGTAAATCCCTTTCGATTTCTCGTCGTGCTCTTCAACCTTTTTCTTACCATTTTGACGCGTCCCCCATCACTATTTGCAGTTCATATAAATATCTCGGTATTCATTTAACATCTGACCTTTCATGGACGTCTCACATCAGTAATATAGTAGCAAACGCAAACCGTACCCTCAGTTTTTTGCGCCGAAACCTGAAACCCGCTACACCCAGAGATAAAACAACTAGCATACTCAACTTTAGTTCGGTTTAAGCTTGAATTCGCTTCTTCTGTGTGGTGCCTTTGGCAATCTTACCTATCTAACGAACTTGAATCCATCCAAAACAGGGCTCTTCGTTTTATTTTTTTCTGATTACGTGACCATTCACGAGCATGTCTGGATTGCGCAAAGCAGCTAACCTTCATACGCTTTCATTGAGGCGCCGAGTGTCCTTGTCTCTCTCCCCTTCACCGAATCTTTCACCATAACATGCCTCTTCGTGAATCACTGCTTTTACCGCCGTGGCAGATTTTCCCCCGCTTTGACCACTCCTGCAAGCTGCGGCACATTTTTTCGTCAACTACTTCATACAGTAATTCAACTTTGCCTTTGGCAATAAACGATTGGAACATACTACCAAATGACATTGTTTACCATAGCTGACACAGATAAATTTGCCGCCTCTGTAACACTTTCATTTCTGCTTTATCCTACTAGTTCCCTCTTCCATTGTGTTAAAATTGCGTGCGGAAGTGTTCGATTAAGGAAAAAAAATAAAAATGTACCACTCCTTTGTGTAATGCCCGTAAGGGCCTTCAAGGATAATAAATGATGATGATGATGATGATTAGCGCACACCAGCTCAGAGCGCGTGGAGCGAAAGCTCGCGCTGCAGAACCCAGAAATTGACCCCGTAAGTGATGACGTCACAACATGGCGTCTGGGTCCAAACAAACCGTTGCTAGGGACGTTGCTATGGACTAATACATGTAGACTCCACACGAGGCTAGATTTTCGCTTATGAGAAAGTAAATAATTTTTTGTAAGCAATCTAACTTCTTGATATCTAATTATGGACACGTTCTTGTCATCTCAGCGTCGTATTGCAACGATGAAAGCCTTTTCTGAAGTATTCCACTCCGCTTTGCTTTGGTAGCAGACGACACGATAGGTTCGCTGGCCTCTGTTGCAGCGGGCGTCTTCATTGAATTGCGTCGGTAAACCAGCAACACAAGCCAGTGCATCGCGAAGGCCGCAGAGGCCTCTGCGATGTGCGTTTTTTTCTGTGAAAAACCCAGCTTAGTTCAGAGGAGCGAAAATTCCGTAAAGTCAAACCACGTCATGTTACGACGACGACCTGAAATGCATTACCGGCGTAGTGCATGAGAAACAAATCGTACGCCGTTGAGATAAGTCGTTTGTTATTATTATTGAGGCTGTCAGGTTATTAAAATATTGCATGTCTACCGCAATTTCGCAATTATTATTATTTTCTTTTGTATAAATTAAATTTAGTGGATGTGCTCTTTCAGTGAAGATCTCCATCGAACCCGCGATGAGAGTACAATCTGTAATAAACTCACCTTATGTTTTTTATCCAGTTCTTTCGCATTTTGGGGTTCTGCGGAGATCTGAAGAAACTGCAAGAATCTTTCTCCACTCGGTACGAAGCACCCTCCCATAGCGCGAGTCCGCAAACAAAATTTGTGATCTCAACGGATCGCCTGAAGTGCTTTTCTCACGGGTGCAATGCGATCCTTCAGCAGACGATCATCTCGATCGACGCACGGACTTTCGATAAACCTATCGGCGAACCCCACTATAAAATCTTAAAAGTGTCAGAAACTCAATATATTTCAAACAAATGCAATATGAGAATATCGTTTTTATTCACACGATTATCCACACGCCCGCCGGCTTGGCCGGCGGGCGTGTGGCAGACGGCGTACGACTTGCATTCGTCGTCTGCTGCAGGCATCTTGAGGACCGGAAGTCTCAGTCCTAAATATTTCAGAAACAAGCGATTTCCGGCAAACTTCTGTCGAAACATATATGGCATTCAAGCTTTCTTTATCTGCGATTCTTAGAAGTTTAAATCCTACTCCTGATTTTTGAACGGTTGGGTTTTCGTAGCGAAACCTAGCCACATGTGTTTGTCCATAACAACGACCCTAGCAACGGTTTGTTTGGACCCATGACGTCACACTTACGGAGTCAATTCTGGGTTCAGTCCCCCCCCCCCCCCCCCCCTACCCGTTTCGATTTGGATATGAGAATCGCATCGGCGTGCGGTCATGTGTCACTACTACGTGGTGCACACTAAAGATCGCAGGCCAGCGGTTGTACTGCACTGGCTAAATTTCTCATCTGCAGCTGAGACGCCAGACGCCCAGTGAAGCTGTCTAGCTTCAGGATGTACGAACATACACACAGCATGAGGATGATGATGACGAATATTTTCATTCTTTGTTAATTCCCTCTGTATTAAGGCTTTTATATGAAATTATTTTTATATAGCACAGTAAAGCTGGAGGAATTCACGCCAGCATATAAAAAGCTCAAACTTTCACAGAATGTGCCTATAGGTAGTGCGTTTAACCCAGTGAAACTTTAAGGAGTGACCTCTTTCTTGTAAAAACTGGGACCAACAGACTTCTCGAAGTCAACCGCGGACGTGTTCCACGACCGCCGTGCAAACGACAGAGTACGTCGACTTGCCGCGCCTATCGGAAGATGGCGCCACAAGTTCCAACCATCGATAATTTGGTCATCTGCGAACACGTCCGCCGTAAACTTTGGTAAGTTTGTTGGTCTTATTTTTCAGAGGACGAAAGCTAAGTTTTGTAATTTCACCAGGTAAAATGCACCACCTAAATTCACATTCGGTTAAAGTTCGAGCTTTTTACGTGCAGAAGCCTTTTTTTTTTTTTGGAAAATTTCAAAGCGATAGCATTCATTAATTGTGGACACTCTACATCAGGGGTGGCCAGAACCCGGCCTAAGAGCCGCAAACAAAACCATTAATCTTCCAAGAGCCGCCTGAAAGAGAAAAGGCAGCAAGGAAGGGGGGGAGGGGCAAACTTTTGCCCAGAGCAGTAAATGAAACTTAAAATACTTTAGATCTATCCGGGTCAAAAGCAGTCTAACTGTGCGTAAAGTAAGCAGTATGGCAGAAGATCGACTACCAAACCGCCGGATGTCTTTCAATTTAAAACGCGTTCCATTTCTCTTTTTGGGGAAGTGCTCGTGTGGGGAGGGCGGGAGGGTTAGGTTTATCTGGGAGGCCACGAGCGGCACTTTAACACGCAAAAATGCGTATGCGGCTCGCAAGCCGCAGCTTGGCCGCCCCTACCCTATATATTTGTGGTTTTATTTTCCCCAGTTTTGAGGAACGTAAAGAAAAGTCGTTGGTGCGCTTCTCCTTCGCGGTCAACGATGTCATTGGTGCAGGTGCCAAGCGGGTGTACGTGTGTGGCCAGCTGGCGTACACCGTCGGGGTGGCGCTCATGGCCCTGAGTCGTACCAGGGCTGCCGTGCTGCTGTTGTCGCCCACCGCGGGTCTCATGTACGCCACCCAGTACACCATGCCCTTCATCCTGGTGGCGCACTACCACGGCTCGCACATGGTGAGTGCATGCCTTTGCAGAAAATCCACCCGAACGACAGTGCCTGAACCGCATGTTCCTTCATGTGAGAGTCTCGGGCTCAGGTGATAATTTTCTGTCACGTGACGCTTCTTTCTCATATCCGCTTTCGAGGATACGTCAAAGAACGCCGGCCAGTTCGAGCCGCTAGCCGCTCGAGTCCTTGCCGTGGCGAGGAATTCTCCGCAATTTTTAATCGGGGTATATACAGCGTGCAAGTTGGTGTGCTCCTTGGGCACACCGTGCGTTTGTTTACCCCCGACCTCAACATATGACGGCGCGAGCTTTCCTGCTTCGTCATCTCGCGTTCTCTAAGCGTTCTTTGTGTTGTTTTTTGATTGGCGTGCCCCTTTTCACGCTTGATGCGCCAAAGACGACTTTTAGTACACTTGCTCGCCGTATATCTCGCATTTTGCCCTTTGATGGCGTGCTGTCTGTATCGGGCGCTACAAAGAGTTACACCACTGGACGAATCATCGAGTTCGCTCGCATGGCGCTAAATATAGCTCACACTTCCTTTCTCTTTACGTCTGGGTGCAGCCGGATCCGGAGGAAGCCAATCAAGAGCACCTAAAGTGCATCCTCGTGGCTCTTGTTGTTTGCTGTCATCGGCTAAACCAATCACGTACAGTAAATGTGCCGCGAATGTGCGCTTTTTTTTTTTTTTCAATGCGAGATTGGTTTAATTGGCGACAGAAAGCCCACAACAAGAACGAGAGCCGGGAGGATGCGGTTTCGGCGCTAGCTGCGGTAGGACTTAAAGTAAATCGGAGCATAAGCATACCCGGGCCGGCAATCTGAGTGAAAACAAAGACTGTGTGATGTAGCAAAATTACTTAAGACTAGAGTAAAAATAAATGCAAAAAAAAAAAAAAAATTGATATCAAAGGAAAAAGCCCCGGAAAGGGGAACGTCCTTTTTTGGTGGCTTTTTCGGTTGTTGAGTTGTTTAGTATTACATCCTTAAATTTCGTTTTGCTGTTGTTTTTTTTTTTCTTTTTTTATATACATTTGAGTAACTACAAAAAGGTGTATGGGCTGTTTAGACAGGTTTTTAATAATAGAAGGAAAAAAAAGAAAGACGCATAGAAAAAAAAAAGTCGTCTTATTTAAACTAAAAACCAATCGTATGTCAATTCTGTACTTTTTTAACGTTCGTTTTAACCGCTCAGGGAGTTATCTGCAGGAATCGGCTATCTTCGTGCATTTTTGTATCTCTCCGCAACCAGCGACGTTGCGGCCGCTGACAAGGCCGAAGACAGAATCAGGAAGCATAAACGTGAACATAATGAACCCCGCGTTTCTCAAGCAGTGAGTGACAGAAATAAATCTCCGAATCTATGTTGTGGCTAGGGTGCCTACATGTCTGTCTGCCTGAGGGTGAAGACTTCTATTGTTGCCCTGGATGTGCCAGCGCGTGACGCTCTCGCGCACTCGGTGCGTGACTTGGGCGGTAAAATGCCGTCCCTGCATTAGCCAAAGCTACGCGCTCGACCTGAGTGACACCAGATTGCGCGCGCTTCAATAAGCATAAAAAAAAAAACGATTTGGCGGAAAAATGGTTGAGATGTCACCACTCAAGCAAAAGGGCGCGTGTGTATGATGGCACTCTAGTTGGTGGCACGAGTTGGAGCCACGTGTATGGTTGATCGACCAAGCTATAGGGCCATGCTCGCACATTATCGCGCCAGGCTTATTGATCGTATTAATGCGTCAGCATTATTACCCGCATGACAGGGAAAAGCTGACTGCATCCGTCTGTCTACAAACCGCTGGAAAGGGAAGCTGTAAAGAGGAGGAGTGTAGTGAAAGACAAAGGCGAGGGGGAAGTGACGTCACGGCGCGGAAGCCAATGAGCGGATGCTGGGGCGCGTCTGAACTGCGGAGCGCGTATGCCTTGGGCCGGTATTCCAAACTTTACTCGATCTTACTCCAGGGTAAGAGTTTTGTACCTTGAAGTTCCAAAGCCTACCCTCGTTCAGAGTTCTTCAATCTATTTCGTCACGTGACACCACCCGCCGGAGTATCTCGGATCCATCTGGGTAAGATTTGGAACACAACATTGGTTTGTATTACAAAATGAAGTGTAAACCAAGTGCTAGCGTTGGTGAAGTAGGCGGGAACAAATATAAAGCAAGATCCATTGGGGGACCCTTAAAGGGGCGATGCAACAATTTTTGTACTTTGCGCAAATACCGCTTAGAACGGATCCTTGACGTTAATGACCTATGAAACACGCGTTAGTTTTTCACCCCACGCAATAGAAGTCCCAGAAAAAATGAAAGAAAAACGAGCAGCGTTCACCCCCTCAACTCGCAGCCAGAACAAGCGGCCACGTGATCTGGAGCCGATTATGTGCCGCCAATGTTGATCATAGCCACGCGCTGGGGTTGGCAAAGCACAGGACACGCGCTGAGTTCCAGACATTGTTATGGCTCGGCTATTGTCGTCGTTGCAGCGATTGGACACGGGCCACTACCCGAATGCTTCTCTATCTAGTAATTATCACGAGCCCAAATCGAGTGCCCACGCAATGCTCGGGTCCAATCTATGAACCGTATTCAAATATCGTCATTGGGGTGTACTGCGATCCCCACGTTACGTCATCAAATTTTGCAAAGGAAAGATTGAATGAAAATGACCGCTTTTGTCCTTGAAATTACACCGCAACAAAGGAGCTTCTTGGCCAGTGGCGTTGCGTGCGAGTATCCTTGAGCCCCACTAGTGTCAGTAAGCTCGTGTAAAGTGAAGAACATTCCAATTGAATATCGTTGCACCGATCCTTTAAAGGGGGCGATGAAACGATGTTTGTACTTTGCGCAAATGCCGCTCAGAACGGATCCCTGACGTATGAAACACGCGTTCGTTTTTCACCCCACGAAATATAAGACACAGAAAACAGTTAAAGAAAGACGAGCAGCGTGTACTCTCTCAACTCGCAGTCAGAACAAGCGGCCACGTGATCTAGAGCCGATTATATGCCGCCAATGTTGAACATAGCCACGCGCTGGGATTGGCAAAGCACAGGACACGCGCTGAGTTCCAGACTTTGTTATGGTTCGGATACTGTCGTCATTGCAGCGATTGGACAAGGGCCATTACCCGAATGCTTCTCAAGCTATCGATTATCACGTTCCCCAAATCGAGTGCCCAAGCAATGCCCAGGTCCAATTTATGAGCCACATTCAAATATCGTCATTGGGGGGGTACTGGAATCCCCCAGTTACGTCATCAAGTTTCCCGAAAAAGAGATTGAATGAAAACGCTCGTTTTTGTCCTTCAAATTACACCGCAACAAAGGAGTTTCTTGGTCATTGGCGTTGCATACGAGTATCATTGAGCCCCACTAGTGCCAGTAAGCTCGTCTAAAGGAAAAAAAACAAAAAAAAACATTCCAATTGAATTTCGGCCCCGTCACACTGCTTATCCGTCGTACAAAAGACAGTCTGCAAACAGATTCGAACACGAGTCACCGTGAGATCCATGGCAATGCATTCAAGGAGAACACTTGGCACGCGGCATTCGAACCACGGATATTTTGGCGACGCGTGTTTGCAGGCTGCCTTTTGTGCTGCGTATGAGCAGTGTGACTCCGGGTTTAGGGAATGCCTTAGCATGACTCCTAGAGAACTCCAAACTCATGTCCCCCTTAGGGAAACGCCAACACGGACCCCAACGAAGCCAAGAAGAAGCAGCAAAAAATAGAGGAAGCAAAAGAGAAAGCCAAAACAGGAAAGTGAAGGGGCCACCGTTAGCGTTCCCGAAAGGGGGACGTCTGTGGCGTTTCCGAAGGGTTATGCTAATGTATTCTCTAAAGATCCACTAATGAACCTCCCCTTTTCTTGTTTTACAGTGCCAACTTTAAAAAAAAAGTAGAAAAAAAAAACGGTTTTTACAGTGTTAGCTGTTCTCGACGTATGCGCAGGCACTTCTCTTCTCACGAAACTAGATTTGGGCATGCGCAGTGCCCACACCAAACGCAGACTTGTTTGTAAACAACGTGTCGGTTTATATAGCCGCTTGCTGTGTCATCTGCAAACAGTACGCGTCCCTGTAATACGCCAGAGGCATATATATTGTCACGAACACAAACAAAGCGCCGACGGGTGACTGAAAATTAAAAATTAAAGCAGTAAGACCGTACAATCTGTGTCGGTGAAACAAGAGCGACTGCCTTGAAGCAGCGCCTTAAAGCTGCTTTTATTGCACGCGGCACGTTCAGGAACGTACTGGACCAGAACACGCGATGGCAGCCGAGACTACGCTGAAACTTCCCAGAAAAGCGAAGATTGATAAGTACCGGGCCAAGTCAACACCATCTAGAAAGAGAAAATTCTTTGTGGATCCGCGTTTGTTTCTGGCTTGAGCGGCGTCGCCGTCGCCTTCGGCGTCGGCGTCGGCGTAACCGCGCGGTGAATTATGGGTAAATTTTTCCGCTAAATTTAGCGAAAAATTTTTCCCGCTAAATCTAGCAGAAAATTTCCCCGCTAAATTTAGCAGAAAATTTCCCCGCTAAATTTAGCGGAATGTTTTCCCCACTAGATTTAGCGGAAAAATTCCCCGCTAAATCTAGCGGAAAAGTTTTCCCGCCAATTTAGCGGAATATTTTTCCAGCCCAATTTAGTGGAAGAAATTTCCCCGCTAAATTTAGCCGAAAAAATTCACCCCTAAATTTAGCGGAAAACTTTCCCCGTCAAATTTAGCGGAAAAGTTTCCCCTAAATGGGAGGAAAGGAGGAGAGCATAGCCTCCTCTCTGTACCTTTCCCTCCTCCTCAAGAGCTGCGCTCTAATTCGGCGTTACAAAGAATTGTAAACGTCTTTCTTTTTTTTTTTTTTTGCTGCCTCTTTTTGGCTTAGTTACGGGGTCAGTGTAAGCGTTTCCCAAAGGGGGACGCGTGTGGCGTTTCCCAAGGGTCATGCTAACGGATTCCCTAAGGATCCACCAATGGATCTTCCCGGCTTTGTGGGTTTCTTTTGGAAATCTCTTTTGGAAGAGTTTTTTGTAGCAGAAGCACCGCCTAGCCGGGTTGGGCGCTGCTTCCGCTTCTCTCGTTCGCCCGCCTTGCACACTTAGCAGCGGAATCGGCTACCTGACGCTGGTTTCGCTATTCACCGTTTCGGCAACCCGTCTCCTTCGTTCACAACCCGTCTTCTTTTGCCGCCTACTTGTACAGCGCTAGTACTTGGTTCACACGCCGTTTTGTAGCACAAACCAAGGCATACGTGCAGTGGCCTACTAACTTGTATTTGAGTGGGGGGCAAACCAGACTCCCCCTCCCCCCCCCCCCCCCCCCAGGGCCGTGGGGTGGTAAACGGAAATAAACAGCGCGCAAAAAATACAGAAGGACGAAAGGAAGGTGCGAACGACACTAAGCGCTGAACTCACAACTAAACATTTATTGAAAAAATAAACACCAACGAAATAAACCGCACTATCGCTTCAGCACGTGTCAGGATAGGCAATTTCTTTTTTGGGAAGAAAAACCGATGTTTGGCTGACGCAAACAAAGGAGGGGCAAGATGCATGCGTCAGCCAAACATCGATTTTTCTTCACAAAAAAAAAAAAAAAAATTGCCTATCTTGACACGTGCTGAAGCGATAGTGCGGTTTACTTCGTTGGTGTTTTTTCAATAAATGTTTAGTTGTGATTTCTGCGCTTGGGTGTCGTTCGCACCTTCCTTTCGTCCTTGTGTATTTTTTGCGCGCTGTTTATTTCCATTTACCATGAATCAACTCGCCTACATCACGACACTAATCCGTGGGGTGGTGCCCTTGCTATACCCTGGGCGCCGCCGGCCAGTGCTTGCCCTGCCCATTGGCGGCTGTTTCAGGGGGCGGGGGGGCAAAACATTGGCCTTGCACCCCCCCCCCCCCCCCCCCCGCTCTGAGAACTGGGAGGAAGGGGGGCAAGCGCCCCCCTTGCCCCACCCCCCGCTCCCGGTCGGTACGCCCATGCATACGCGCTCCGCGCACCCGCAAATTCAGACTCGCCCAGCATCCGCGCGCGCATTGGCTTCCGCCTCGAGACGTCGCCTCCCTCTCACCTTTGTTCTTTTCTCTACGCGGCGCGCTTCCCTTTCCATTGTTTTGTCCACAGACGGACACCGTCAGCTTCCCCTGTCGTGTAGGGACTAATGCCGACGCTTTAAGTATGAAGGCCTTCGAACGCTCCACTCTTTCTCCGTGGAACATCATCACAGTCGGATGGCGCCAACTCGGTAATTGGACCCGAGCCCGATGGAGCGTTTTTCGACACGCTGATTGGACACGAGGCACAGCCGAGCTCTGACGCAGCACTAGTATCCAGTGTGTGTCTTTCACTTGGTGTCACTGTGATGACGTCGCAATTTTAGTGCACAGGCTTTGGTTATTCTATAGGTGGTGTTGGCCAAGCAGGGTTCGCTCCCCGTTCCCGTGCGTGGGAGCCGCGTGAGTTGTCAACTGCGCTAGATACGCGGCAATGTAATGCAGAAGCTTTCGTACACCCACGAAGTGTATTCCCCGTCGCAGTTGGAACAGTCGGCGGACTGGTCTCATCGTGGCCTGGGCACGGACGTGGCCATCGTGAGCAGCATGATGTTTCCGGCACAGCTGCTGCTCTCCCTGTGCGCGGGGCCGCTGGTGGGCCTGGCAGGAGGCTCGGTCACGGCCATCATGTGCGGTGCGGCCGTGCTCAGCGCCTGCGGAGCTCTTTCGGCCACCTGGGTCACCTACCATAACCTCTGAAGGAACTGACTCCGTGGTGCGATCATTGCGCCAGGCTTCACCAGTGGCAGGGACGCTAACCCGCTTCAAAATGCTTTTGAACACTTCACCACTCGTGGTTGTGAACTGCTATTAGTATTACATGAATGATCGCCCGATTTCTCAACGTCGCTGGCACCAGCAACCTGATCCAAGCGCAAGGCTGCGGTCTCCGAAGTTATTTCATGAGTTCCCAGCTGTAGACTTGCGATAGCTGCGGTATAGGGTAGAGTGCTCGACGTTGTTTTGTTGTCCTACAGCTCAGTATTATGCCTGCTGCGTCAGCTGCCAAGGCGGCCACCATCTTGGCTCTAAACCTTTGTCCAACCCTTCGTCTCTCTGGTGACGTTATGAAAGGCTACGAAGATGGCGATGGGGATATCTCGTCATTTAGTAGCGCTACGTCCGCAGTTGTCTCTGAGTGTTCACAAATTGTAGTCAATAATGATGCAGTTGCTCGTGGCTTTATTGTAAACGAAAGTCGAACGCGTGTTTTAAGCGGTACCGACTCTTGATCTGGTGAGGCTGCATAAGGTTGTCAAGTCGCGTCACGTGCAAGTTCCAAATACAAACATCTATAGTCGGTCACAAGTTAAGTGTAAAGTGGAAGCTCCTTCCACCTGTTTCCACTTTAGCAGAGCGAGCACTGGCGAGGAGGCGACAATTTCTATAGCGTTCGTTCTGCTAAAGTGGAAAGAGGTGGGATGAGCTTCCACTTTGCTCTTGAACTGTCACTGACTAACTACAGCCGAAGGTGCCTTATAGCAGGATTGGGCTGTATCGCGCTACAAATGTATCGCGATAGTATTTCAGAAATACATTTCGTATCTGTATATCTGTATCGCGATACCCTTTTTTCTACGGTATCTGTATTCCTGTATCGAAATACATTTGTAATGTTTCTTTGTATCGCGATACAATCAGGGTGAAATGTATTTCGTTACATTTCTTGAGAGATACTCTCTCCCCCCCCCCCCCCCCCCCCCCCGAAAAAAAAAAAGAAAAACCCGAACGCACTTCTTTTTTTTTTTTTTTACTTTTGAGGGCACTAGGGTCAAGGAGATGCTGGGGCATTGTTACCATGCAGACCAAGGTTCCTTCCGATTCTCCTAATTAGGTTTTATACGTCTTCTTCTCTCTTCTGAGAAGTGTTGCGTAGTCGGGGATTCAAACCAGGTGGCGTGCCAGGAGTGGAATCATAGCATCTTCTTCCGCAGGTCCTTAGGTAGGAATTTCTTGAGTCATTCTTTGCTGGCATCCTATTGCCGCTGCTAACCGCCTCTCTTGCTTTGGCGTGCACAATACACCCAGCCGCCAAAGCTGAGTCAGAGTCCGTTGCAGCACGAGCCTGGCGGTGGTTGACTTGAAATAGTAGGATAACTCACACACTGAAGTTCAACATTTATTCGAATCCTTTTGCGGCTGCACCCGCAATATTACACCCCTCAATGATACGTCATCAGCCGACGTGAACGCCGACCCGCTCCTCTGGTGATCCGAAACCCGGGCGTACACCTGCGAGCGACTCGTCGCGAGCGCGGTGTTTCTCGGAGAGCTCGCTCCTGTGTCGGCAATATCACGTCGCAATCTACGAGATCTCTGTTTGGATTATGCTAGTCGAAACTTGAGGACTGCAATCTATGCGTCGGTGGCGGAGGGTCGGCAGGAAGGACCTTCACAACAGGGATGCCACCGTATCGGTTTTTCAACCGTAACAGAAGATGAGACATGTGTTCCAGAGTGCTTCACGTGGTCCACTATTCTCGAAAATTCCAAATTACACTGCCTGCACGATCTCCAACGAGGTAACTTACAACGAAAGTACGTACTATTCTTTCCTACAGCAGCGTGGTAAAGTTTCATGTTGAAGGCCACACCTACAGATTAAGAAAACTAGTTCATTCCACCGTGACGTCATGTGATCAATGTTGACAGGTTCGTTCTTATTGCACAGGGGCGTGGTGACGTTTTTATAGGATTTAGGATGACATAGAATTTATTTAGAGGTCGTAGTCTTTTCGGATCCCTCGTCAGAAAGACAGGATGTCAGGAGAAGGACCACGGTCAGTCCTTGATAAAACTTTTTTTTTTTTTTTAGCGTTTTGAAGATTCCTCGTCGTCCGAAACCACTACCTTCAAGGCAAAGTGCCAAGACTACGGGAAACTAATATTGGGATCAAAAACTTCCACTTCAAAGTTCAATCTTCATCTCATTTGGCGTCTCAAATAAATTCTGAAAATGTATTGCAGTATCAGTATTTCTGTATTTGTATTTCTGCCCTCCCTAAAATGTATTCCTGTATTTGTGTTTCCAAATACTTTATGTATTTCCGATACGTATCGCCGATACACTTTTACAGATATATTTCAGTATCAGTATTTTAGCTACTATTTTAATGTATCCCAGTATTTGTATTTCCAAATACATTTTTTGAGTATCTCTGCCAACCCTGCCTTATAGATAGGGTTTCGTGTTTTCGGAGTTTATTTTTCGTGAAATTCGGAGGGTGTTGTTCAGAGTTCATTTTTTAGCGAAAATTCGGTGTTTATCGGAGTTTATTTTTCGCGAATCCCGAATTCTCCGAAATTCGTAGATTAATTTCGCAGTGTTTCTTATTAAAAGACAATAAATAATAACCTCATGCCAACGTATGCCAGATAAAAAATAAAACGCGCTCGTACCAATTAAGATTTCTTCAGTTGAATTTGGCGTTGGTGTCATTGGCAATACTAATTTGTCCCACGACAAAAGTCGCACACAAGTGTGGCTTCGATAAACGTCGATACCTTAAAGTCAATAAAATGCCGGAGGGAGCCGCAAGGAAGCTCGTAGTCATCCCATCAATCTATCCCGCGGCCGCGCGAGGTGGAGTGGTTAAGGATGTAATAGAGAAGTTTCAACTGCCCCTCTTCCCTATTTTATACAATTTCTATGGTCCATAGCTTTCACTGTTACCCCCAGAAACATACCTTCTCCTTTCTCTAAATCGCAAATCCCATGGCCCAAACTGGAAACCAAAAGAGTGGCTTTTCTCGTGACACGAACGGTACGATGACCTGTCTCCCTGAACGAACCTTGACGAGACAAGCCGTAAGACCCCCTTTTGACAACGGCCCGAGGCTTGAAAGATAATTATGGTGTCATTTTCCTAGGACCATTGACTTCTATGGTCACCGACATCTTAAAGGGGCCTTGCAACAACTTTTTGACTGGTTTTTAATTTGCACCGAACCTGAACGCACTGAACGTAGTAACTTAATGAAACTTTTCTTTTCCCTAATTTCGCTTTATTTTAGAAGTTATAGGCAAATTAAAATTACAAAAACGAGCCAAAAATAACCTCGTTCATGACCTCGTAGATCTTGGCTTGAGTGGCCGTGAAGTAGAGGAGGGGAAGTGAGCTCCTCGAGCGCTCACGGCTGCCGCACTCCGTGTCGACGGCTCGAGAGGGCGCCACTAAAGCATGTGTTGGATAGGCTGTATGAAGCAGGCGGCCAGGGCGGCTCGCATTGCATTTGCTGCGCGATTAAAGACTAATTCGGCGTAACACTTCATTGGCCAGAAACGACCGCAAACACGGGGTAAAGATCAGTTCGCGCTGCCATACCGCCAAATGGCCAAATCGACAGCCAAACCCGCGCCGAAGGCCTTCGGAACGCTCGGAATCGGTGGGATCCTCGAGCCAGTATACGACCGCAGCGCCGCCGCGTACATCCGAGACCTTTCTACGCTCGCCACTCGTGAATGCCTCATCCCACGACCCCTTTCTAGTATGCACCGTTTTTATCGCCGCTTGGTGACGGGTATGTCGACGGGTCATTTCTTGTTTCCGCACTTTATAAACGGCATTTGTTTCTTTTCTGATCTAAAATACTGAACAAATGCTACTTTCATAACTAATTGAAACGGTTCGCGCCACTTATATTTTGTATTTCGGCTAAAAAATGATGTTAGCGGCTCTGACCAGTAGTAAGGCCAGGACCAAAGACGCGCGCTTTTGGTACCGCGGGTCGCCCTCGTAGTTGGAGGAGGTTTCCGCGTCGTCCGGTTAAAATATGGCGCACTGATATTTAGTCACTCTCTCCTTGCCCGCTGGCTTGCCTGAACCTCAAGAGACGTGGAAACCGCAAAAAAGGTAGAAGCTTAAAAATGATTGCAGGGCCCATTTAAGAAAGGCAAGGCGTGGCGAGTTTCGATCATCTTATACCGCTCTAGGTTGCTGCATTCGCCGATAAAAACGCCCATGTCACGAAGTAAAAAGTGTGGATAACGAGCCACGCCCAGCGTTTCTTCAGTTGTCAGCGACTATAGTCTGGTATACATCGATTGAAGAACCTGGGAGCCATTCTGTAACATACAGAAATCTGAACACTCATAGAGTAAAAGAAAGTAATGAAAGAAACAATGTTCACGCTCCTACTGCATTGCCTTTTTTTTTGGGGGGGGGGGGGGGGGGAAGAGGGGGGGGGGCATTTGCTTTATGGGGCTATCACATTGACTGCGAATCGATAATGAACAACGTTTTGACGGTATGCGACTGACCTCTGGAACCAGTTGTAATATATTTACTTTTTTTATGACGTCATTTGCCTTTTATTACGTTTACGCGGCGTGACACGGTTAGCACGGAAAAAAGGTCGACACTTTTCCTCTTCTTACGTAGACAAGGTATTATTGACCAACATTGAAGTTTCCGCCTAAGTTTGTGCCCCAAATTAGGGGTAGTATTTATGACGGCCTTGATGCCCAGCTTCGTCGATTGAAGACATCGATTTTCATCGGTGCTCTTTCCCGGCTACTTTGGCTTCATCGTCACTGACATCAACACTCCCGCACCCCATAAAGCACGGACCGTCTTCCTCGAACTTCAGTGGGCATGTGCAAGCGGCAGGAATGCAGAGTCGTCGAACCCTCATGTATTTCCTTTGCAGGTCAGTCCCATCCCTTCGTTGCATCGTAAGCGCACGAACAATGTTAACCTGCTGCTTTTGCCATGTCTAAATGTTCTTCTTGGTACTATTTGGGATTGCCTTTATGTTGTTGAACTATTGCTTTT